TTAACAGCTGACTGTAAGGGCACTAACATGCTTGTTAGAATGAAAATATCAAACCAGGCATCTGTAGGTTCCAATATTTTGGCTTGCATATCATCTTGATGTTAATAAATATATTGTAAATTACATTTTTAGTATGTTCACTGAATCAAGTTTAAAATTTTCACTTGGCAGCTAAGCACAGCTGTTTCATGGGCATCTTGGAGAAGGGTGACAGCACACTTTGTACACAGAATGCACCCGAAAAGTTATTTCGATTGACAGCAGAGACCCAGGCCAACCGTCTGCTAGGGCAGGGAAGAAAGAGAGAAGTTAGTCTCCCACCCATTAGCCCGGACACTCGGAGAGGCCTTAACTCTGGATGGCTGCAGGCTGGCAAAACAAGGATTATCATGTTACATGAATGCTTATTAAATAACACAGCAAAGTACACCAGACAATGACATGTAAGAATGTAAAAAGCATTTCTGCACTCAGTGAGTAACAAGACACACTGACAGGCCCTTATGAGGCACATACTCTGCATCCAAGCCAAGTCAGTATGCCGCGATGCTTAGCCTGTCAGCCACTATGTGTGGGAAACCGGTGCTAATCATTCATACTGTCTGACTCATTGCTAATATTAATATTCAGGTTAAAGAACAGATATGAAAGCAGCAATGCTCAGGTTACGAAGACAAGAAGTTGGCTTAAAGCAGCATTACATGTCTCTAGCATGTTACAAGAGACTGTGCGCAGCTTCAGACATGTTATACATGTTTAGGGTAATGCCAGCACTGATTTTAGGACAGAAATTACTTTTTTTACCTGGCATGAAGACTGCATGTCATCAGGATATACAAAAAAGGAAACAGTAAAATCAGTATCTCCCTGACAAGGGAACAGAAAATTCTTCCTAAACATTGCTATGCAGGGAGAGTGGCCACTAAACATGAGGCAGTAATGATGACAGCTAATCCAATCTAAGAATGCATCAAACTACCTTTATGTGGTTGTTAAGATAAAAGCTTTGTACAAATTTAATCTAACCTCGAGATCGGCAAAAAGAAAACTGCCTCTGCCTGCGCAAATCACTCAAACCTCAGAACGCTTATGATGTACTCTTTTAAATAACTCTATTTGATTGCAATGAAAATCCAAATACAGATTTCTAATAAATACCTGAAGATGCAAATAGAAGTCATTAGTGACTCTGCTGATGGTAAACTAAAATGTGAACCTTTTATTGAGACATATACTTTGTGGCCAAAAGTTTGCAGATACCTGAGGATCACACCTATAAGAGATCATTGGACATCACACTCCAAAACCATAGACAATGATATGGAGGTGGCTCGACTTTTACTGGTAGGACTGACTCAACTCTGGGAAAGCTTTCTACAATATTTTGGAGTGTCTGTAAGAAATTTTGGTTGAGCGAGAAGATCTGGCTTACAGTCAGCATTCTAGTTCATTTCAATGGCATTAAAAAAGTTGAGGTCAGGGCTCTCAAATTCCTCCACATCAAACACTTTAAACCAGGGGTGTCCAAACTTTTTTCAAAGAGGGCCAGATTGGATGAAGTGAACATGGTGGAGGGCCGAACATTTTTCCAAACATTCTTTGAACCATTACAATTAAATGCAAATAAATTATTTTATGCCAAGTTACCGTATTTTTCGCCGTATAAGACGCACCTGACCATAAGACGCACCTAGGTTTTAGAGGCAGAAAACAGGAAAAAAAAAATTCTGAACTAATGGACTGCAGACACAGTACAGGAGATGACCAGAGACTGCGGACAGCACAGGGATGACCAGAGACTGCAGACAGCACAGGGATGACCAGAGACTGCGGACAGCACAGGGATGACCAGAGACTGCGGACAGCACAGGGATGACCAGAGACTGCGGACAGCACAGGGATGACCAGAGACTGCGGACAGCACAGGGATGACCAGAGACTGCGGACAGCACAGGGATGACCAGAGACTGCGGACAGCACAGGGATGACCAGAGACTGCGGACAGCACAGGGATGACCAGAGACTGCGGACAGCACAGGGATGACCAGAGACTGCGGACAGCAATGGGATGACCAGAGACTGCGGACAGCACAGGGATGACCAGAGACTGCGGACAGTACAGATGACTGCTGACCTTTGGGGAGGTGGGGAGCGGGTACCTGAATTTGACAGGTACCCGCTCTTACTTCCGCAGTTGTTCTTTGATTTTACCTGTTCCTCGATCCAGCCGCGCGCTGTCTTCCCGGGTTCTGTAATGGCGCTCGGCATGACAGCCAGGTGCCCAGTGCGCATGAGCGAGAAGCACTTGCGCTTTGTGATTGGTCCGGCGGCTTCTGGGATCTGTCATGTGTCCCAGGTACCGCCTTACCATTCACAAAAAGCACCGCTTCTTGCGCATGCGCACTTGGCACCAGGTTGTCATGCCCAGCGCCCACACTACAGAAGTCGGGAAGACAGCGCGCCGCTGGATAGAGGAACAGGTAAGGTCCCGCTGCAGAGCTGAGCGGCCAGCCCGGTATTCTGACACGGCCGCGGTGGAAATACCGGACCGGCCTCTCCATATTCGCTCCATAAAAACACACTGACATGGAGGGCCGTATTAAACCGACCCTCGGCCGTAAATGGCCCGCGGGCCGGACTTTGGACATGCCTGCTTTAAACTATATCTTGATAGAACTAGCATTGTGTTGGAAGGGACCTTCTCCAAACTGGTGCCAAAAGGTTGGAAGTGCACAATTGTTCAAAGTGTCTTTGTATGCTGTAGCACTGACAATACTCTTCACTGGAAATACCTGAACTCAATCATTTGAAGGGGTGCTCACAGCCTTTTACAAACAGATAGGTGTGAAAGTCAGGTGGCCACAAACTTTTGGTTGGTACAGATAAACCTGATTCTGTGTGCACCGGTTTTAGCAAGTCTCCTCCATAGTGTAGGCAAGTATATGGAGGTCTAGACAAAGCGAAAAGGGTGGAATGCTTGGTAAGAGAAGGGATCCTCAAATGTTACAGCTGTTAGTGCATATTCAGTCTGACCTGGCCTTTTGGCTGGTTTCTTGGTGGGGGTATCCTTCTTCTTGCTTGGCACAATGGGAGAATAGGGGACTCCTGGAGTTGCACTGTTCTTTCGGAAATGTTCTTTCAGTCCCTTTATTGAACGATCCAGTTGGCTGGAGCGAATCTGGTAGTATACATTCATGAAGTCTGCAAGGAGAAGCAGATGAAGAAATTAATTATCTTCAATGAGAACAAGAGTAAGTAGAAGAATACAATCAGAAGATCAGATGTCAACAATGCAAAAAAAAAAAAAAAGTCAAAAAGCAATACAATAAAGTGAACACATTAAAAATGAGAGAAACGACACCTAATAGTAAAGCAGGCAATGAGGACGATTTAAAGCTATATCAAATCTAACATTGTAGTTCTAGTTTATAATAACAGTAAAAGCACTTTAGGGGAAAATTCCACTTTGAGAGTACATACATAGCTGTTGCAAGACATTCTGCGATTTAACCACTTACATACCATAGTACATCTAACAATGGCGGATTGGTGGCCCTTTTTATACCCAGTGCCATTTATGAACGGCACTGGATAAACAGCTGTTAGGCCGCTGATCCGCTGGGTGATCGCTGTATTCCGAGCTGTACCCAGTCAATCCGAGGGGTTGGTACCATGCGATTGCTGTGACTGGTCATCATAGCGATCACATGGTACAATTTATAATGCTGGTCCCTCCCCTTCCCCTTACAACATGGAAAGGAGAGAGATCAGTTCTTATAAAGGGACACAGAATGAGTCAATCAGCAGCTGATGTTGCTGACCCATTCATTCTGTTGCTGTGACACAGGAATCGTTCTTATTTTTTTTAACCCTTTCCTGCCCCCCTCCTCTCCATCACATACTACCTCCCCTAATGTCTCTAGTGACCTGTAAATAAAGCCATCTACTCCCTTATCCTTCCCATCTGAACCCCTTCACCTCCACCATGCCATTGTATGTGACCAGTACATTAATTCCTTCTCTGGCTCCTCCCTCTGTGTATGACCTGTACAGTAATGAACATAGTGCACTATTCCACAAACGTTGGGATGCTGAGCAAAATCTACATAAAAACAGAATGCAATGATTTGCAAATCTCATAAACCAATATTTTATTCACAAGAAACAGAAGCATATCAAACATTTAAACTGAGGAAATGTAACATTTAAAGACAAAAATCAGGTCATTTTGAAATTGATAGCAGTAATACCTCACAAAAAAGTTGGGACGTGGCAACAGAAAGCTGGCAAAGTAAGTGGTACTAACAAGAAAGAGCTGGAAGAACATTTTGCAACTATTTAGGTTAATCGGCAACTAGCCAGTAAAATGACTCGGTATAAAAAGAGAATTTTAGAGAGTCAGAGTGTCTCAAAAGTAAAGGTGGGCAGAGGATCGTCAATCTGTGAAACGCTGCATCTAAAAATTGTGGAACAATTTCATAATAACATTCCTCAATATAAAATTGCAAAGACTTTACATATGTCAACATCTACAGTACATAATATCATACAAGAATATGGAGAAATTTCTGTGTGCAAGGGACAAGGCCGAAAACGCAATATTGGATAACTCTGATCTTCAGGCCCTTAGACGGCACTGTACTAAAAACAGGCATGATTTTGTGATGGACATCACTGCCCATGCTCCAGAATACTTCCAAAAATCACTGTCTGAAAACAGTTTGCCTTGCCATCCAAAAATGCATGGTAAGGTTCTATCATGCAAAGAAGAAGCCATATCTGAACATGATCCAGAAATGCCACTGTCTTCTCTGGGACAACGTTAATTTATAACGGTCTGCTGTTCTGTGGTCAGACGAATCAAAATTTGACATTCTTGTTAGAAACCATGGGTGCCGCTTTCTCTGGACTAAAGAGGAGAGGGACTTTCCGGCTTGTTAAAAGCTTGCATCTCTGATGGTATGTGGGGTGCATTAGTGCATATGGAATGGGAAGCTTGAACATCTGGAAAGGTACCATCAATCCGGAAAGACAATATCCTGGTTTTAGAGCGGCATATGCACCCATGACGCCTTTTTCAGAGAAGCCCTTGCATTATTAATGCTAAACCGCATACTGCATCTATGACAACAGCATGGCTTCAGAGTAAAAGGGGCTTAACAGACCTGCCTGCAGTCCAGACCTTTCAGCAATTGAAAATATTTGGTGCAACTTGAAATAAAAAATATGACAAAGACCCAGTTAGAATCCTAAATCAGGCAAGATTGGGACGACATTCCTCTCCCAAAACTCCATCAACTGTTTCCTCAGTTCCCAGACATTTACAGAGTGTTGCTAAAAGAAAAGGAGGATGCCTCACACTGTGGTCAACATGGCCCTGTTCCAACTTTTTTGATGTGTGTTACGGCAATCAATTTCAAAATTACCTTATTTTTTTCTTAAAATGGTACAATTTCTCAGCTGAAACATTTGATATGTTTTCTGTTTTCTATTGTGAATAATATGTATTTATGAGATTTGAAAATCATTGCATTCTGTTTGTATGTAGATTTTGCATAGCGTTTCCTTTTTTGGAATTGGGGTTGTATTATTTTTGCATTTTTATTTTAACAGAGAATAAGGAAAAACATTTTTTTTAATCAATGGTCTTTTTTTCTTTTGATAGAAAAAAAACCTGGGCACTTTTTAAATACCACAAAAAGAGAGCTCTATCTAAAAAAATATGATAAAATATTAATTTGAGTACAATGCTGCATAATAGATTAACTGTCAGTCAAACAATCACAGAACTGAAAACTGAAGGATGGCCTGGTAAGGAAGGACTATTACAGCTTGGTATACAAGCGGCTAATGTTTTTAAAGGGGCAGTGTCAACTTTTCCATGGCAAGGCAAAGGAAACCATCACACCAGTCCAGGGGCGGACTAACCATTTGGAAACTTGGGCACTGCCCGAGGACCCGGGGTCAGTAGGTGGCCCCATGAGATGCCCCTGGTACCTTTTTCATAGGCTTTTTTGAGTTTGTGCAAGGACACAGGGGCCCCATGATCCCCTATTGCCCAGGGGCCCCATGAGTTATCAGTCCGCCTCTGCACCAGTCATACTCACTCTGCCAACATTCCTTCACAGCTTCTGCCCCACTACAGTAAACACTACAATTCTAACGTGTCAGCTGGTTTTGGATGATAAGTGGAGTAAAGATTCCCCTCCCCAATCACGTGACAGGGTTCAAGGCTAGGGGTAGGCTGCTAGACCAGAGCAATGTCATATGGGAGGAGGTCACATGCTTGCCTACACCCAGAAGTAGCAGATATTGTTGCCAGCTTCAAGAAAAGCAGAATCAGCATGAGAATGCTAGTAAATTAAAACGTAGTTCCACCTGAAAAAAAAAAAAAGTCAGCAGCTACACACACTGTAGCTGCTGAGTTTTAAAATACAGACACTTACCTGTTCCTCGGTCCAGCGGTGTCCTCACTACCGCTGGTTTCACCGGCCGTCTTCTCTCCCTGGCGCCGGCATCTTCAGTGTGGGCACCCGGCTGTGACATCGGCTTCACAGCCGGGTGCCCACTGCGCATGCGCGAGAAGCGCTGCACTTTATGAATGGCCCCGTAGTCTTCTGGGACCTGTCACGTGTCCCAGAAGACTACGGAGAAGGAGGAGGAAGAAGACTTCCTATTGTCTAGACGATCGCAGCGGAAGTGGGAGCGGGTACCTGTCAAATTCGAGAGGAGAGGAGGGGAGGGGAAAGAGGAGGAGAGGAGGGAGGGGGTACTAGCTCCCCCCCCCCGCGCCCCAAAAGTACCAATCCTTCAGCGGAAACCCTTAATAGCGAGCAGGGGACAAAGGCTTAAAGCGGAACTTCCCCTTTTGGGTGGAGCTCCGCTTTAAGTATAACTGGTGCAGGGGGCTGGGAACGGGGCCTTTACAAAGTTAGTGTTACCCTGGCCTTAATCAGCAAGGTGTTAGTGGAGCGCTACAGCACTACAATGCTTTAGATGTCTTCTCCAATTTCCCTGATGTCCCCATCAGCGTACAAATTTGACTTCCTAACGTTATCAAGTGCCCACCTACCCATGTTCTTATTGACCATTAAGGGCAAGTTCTCAACACCATCAGAAAATGTGGAAATTTGTATATTATAGTACCTGGAGATTTAGGTAATCTATGGTAGGATAGGAATACCAACAGAAGTAGGAGGGCCAGGATAGGAGGGTCAGCAACAGACATTACCAATATCAGGAGGGTCAGCAATAGGCACTATCAGTAAGTGAAACATGCTTGTTTTAGCACTGGTACTCTGAGTACCCAATGTGCTGCTTAAGATATGCAGAAATATGTGCAGGCACTAGTTGCATTGCATTGCTTGCATTGTAGTCCAGCAGATTGTCCATTACCATTATGGTACTTACAGACATGCAATAAATTTTGAATGTGTGGATCATTTCTCACTAATAATCATCAAAACCATAGTGCTACTCTTTTACAAGCCACCAGAAAACAAGGATACATTTTAATTTTTTTGCCAACCACAGATCTTCAAAAATATAACACAGATTGAGGATATAATTATGGTCTACTGCAAATTATCTTGTACTATTTTATCCCTTAATGATACGTGATATGCACTCACCTTGGTTTCTGCCATACTCTACCAACCATTGAGAGATGCGTATGATGTCCTGTAAGATCCCTTCTGGAAGATGCTCTAGAATTCCCTCCTCTTGTCCTTCTATCTCTTCATCTGTACCAATGAGGTCCAAGATGAGAATAGGAGGGACTGGTTTACTGTGTCTCTGAAGGAGGTTACGGAACTCAGCATCTAAGGATTCCTTTCCTCTTTCAAACAGCGACTTCTGCAAAATTTGGGTAACACAATCAAAATAGAGATTTTCCAAGAATTAATTTTGTTATAAGATAGAGAACATGACCTTTACATTAACAATAAAAACAGCTAAAAAATGAATCATAACAAGTTTGATTTATAATCTCCTTTAGCAAATCTTTGATTTATGATCTCCTTTAACAGGTCTAGTTAATTTATTCTCTGAATTTTTATTTGGCAAAATTACTTTGTGTCTTAGCATACAAATGATCACTAACGCACCACTCTGTTTAACTCTGGGCTGTCAGGATTGTTATCTTGAAAATATTCCACTGCTTTCTGAATCTTGGCAATGCAGCTTAGGTATTCTTCTAGTCGTCCTGATGGCCTAGTATATGAAAAAATATGAAAAGTGATTTCCATACATGAAACAAATAAAATAAATATCCTGTCACATAACTGAGAGTTAAATTCTTTTAAATTGCCAACAGATTTAAAGTGCATGGGTATCCAAACCCTGTTCAGTTTTTTTTTAGTGTCTGAGATTTACCGTTTCTATTCATCCTGATCACCATGGCCATTGAGACTGAAAGTGATTGGGAATTCAAACTTTTATAGATGTCATCAGAACAAGAAGTGAAGGCAAATCTACAATCTAGAACCCTTGTTATGGTGGTAACCTTTACTTTGAAAGATTTCCTCTTAGCTCCTATTGCGTCTTTGAGACAGTGGCTATACATACACTTTACAAATCTTAAAAATATCCCATTGCTAACCAGTACAATTAAAGACCTGACGAGTGTTGATGTGGCCTGTGACCCAGCGGTGTGTTTATTGCACATTATGGACCTCCCTATCAAAAAGTATAAGGCCTCCCTGACGGTTCAATTTTTAAATGCAGCTAAAGCTTGCATTCCCTTTTGTTGGAGGTCTGTGCACCCACCTACGAGGTCCCTTTGGTTTACTAAAGTCAATGAGCTGCGAGACATGGAGGACCTCACAGCTTCTTTGTATGACCGGGGTGAAATTTTTCGAGACACCTGGAGACCGTGGCAATACTTTTGTCTATACTGATTCTTATCTCCAGGCACCCTCCGGGCTGGTGTAAGGGTGGCTTTGTCCTGTCTAGTTTTGTCCTGTTTTATTTGGTTCTCCGTGGCCCTCAGATGGGAGAGCCGACCCGCTCTATTCCGCTTCTCCTTCCTCCGTTGGTTTCTTCTTGATTTCATATTCTTCTTTTCCGCGTTCCGGTTTCTTGTCTCCCATCTATGTTTCCATTTCCTTGTTCTTCCTCTCTTTTGTTTCTTTTTCTTTATCTCCCTTCATTCCCTTTTTTTTTTCTGATACCTTTTTCCTCCTCTTTGCACCCTGTTCATCTTCCTATTCTGACTCCTCTATGTATCCATAGTCTCCCTCCCTGGTTTCCCGATCTGTGGGGAGTTCTATATCGAAAATGCTTCTTTGTCTGCTACCTGAGATCTCTCTGTGGGACCTCCTTTCCCATTTTCTGAGATTTCGGGATGCCCTGGTTTCCCATATGGCCGGTTGCTTGTTATTAGACCTTTGCCTTCTTAGCCACTCCAAGGCCGTACTGTGTCCACGTAAGTGCTTGACTTACAATGATCTACTATGTTGTTGCCTACTTTGGTTTACACCATGATGCTGCTCGTTTACTTGTCTATTTGTTATACTTGGCTCATTTTATTGCCTTATGTTTTGTTGCTTCTGTGTACCTTATATTGTATGATTTTTGGCTACCTAACCAGAAAAATGTATAAATAAATAAATTATAAAAATATACCATTGCAGCATATGTGCAGGACCATGGCAACTACAGATCAAACAGAGGATAAGATGGCAGCCTCCTTGGCTAAAAAGGGTAGGAGGGTTTAGTTTCACTTTAAGGGTGATAGTTTTTATCTTCCATCATACAAGCTTTTGTCATACAAAACAACAAACCCATGGTATACTGTATATTAGATATCTAAAAGGTCAGAAACACACAACTTCATGCATAACTGCTGTGAATATTTTAGGTGACAGAGTGGCCCCCAAATCTGAACTGAACATGGTTAAGCTTGTCGTTCAAGGACCCAACTTAGAAAGTTCTCAGGTGGTATTTTTTTGTATGTGAAAGTCAGTTCAGAAACATTATTGCATGGATGTTGAGGTTCTACAAGCAATCTGTTGAGGAGAGCAGAAAATAGAGAAGTTCCAGGTGGAGCTAAAATAATCCAGTAGGTGAAAAGATTAATGAAAATCAGAGGCTTGCAGTGGCCAAATAACATGCAACAAATTAGCAATACCACGTCTGCAATATTCTGGATGATAACTGAATGACCTGAAAAGAAAATCATCAAATACAGCTAAAGTCCAATTGAACTCTTGGTTTTAATCCACTAAACCCATTCAAACAAAAGGTGTTCAATATTAGTCTTGCGCACTGGGCATTTAGCCTTGCTTCATGAGATCCCAGTGTTTTGGTGCAGGGGAAGGCACAGTCGCACTGTTCAGTCCCATTGCCAGCAGCCCTCTAAGGTCTCCGAGAGGCTAAAAGCTGATACAGTTGAACAGTGCAACGAGTCATACTAAGGTTTATGGCAGCATGGAGGCTGTGGAGGAATGCCTGGAACACCGACTGCTTTCATTCCAGGAATTCATCCCTGGGTGGATACTGCCCTAAATGTTAGTACGATTTGGTGCACCGTCCACCCCAGCAGCTTTTAGCGTCTCATAGTGTTTTACAGGTTACAGAAGTGTGCAGAAGACCTTATAGTTCATTCTCCTTCTAAAGCAGCCACAGTCTGAGTAGAAGAACCTGCCTATTGCCAGCATGCTGCACAGTAAGACTCTTGCTCTCTTTGAGGAAGCAGTGGTCTCATTGCAGAGATCAAAAAACACCCCTTAGCTGACAGGTATTTCTGTTCTGGCTCCAGCTTGTATAGAAAAATATGAAGTATGAATAAGATATCGAGCACTTTTTGTTTTGATGCATCTACATGTATTTTATTCATCTGTTTTTTTGTGGGCAGACCTTCTTTGCACACTCTCAGGCCTTGTTCACACAGGGAGTACAACACCATAAACCCATGCAGGGCCATGTTCACCCGCCCTGTGCAAACAGTCCCATTGATGTCTTGGAGAACACAGACACAGCTGCTGTGTCCCATTATGACATCCATGTGGGTGCGGCTGCGTATCCCTGAACTCGCCCAGTGTGTGCAGGGGTGTGGAAATTTAAAAAGAAACTACTTGTCCAAGGAACTAAATTGGGGTCCCAATCTACTTGTACCTCATGACAATCTATTTGTCCTGATAAAAAAAAATATATATATTTTAACCAAAACCGTATTTAACCACTTGACTACCGGGCACTTTCACCCCCTTCCTGCCCAGGCCAGTTTTCAGCTTTCAGCGCTGTCGCACTTTGAATGACAATTGCGCAGTCAAGCAACACTGTACCCATATGAAATTTTTATAATTTTTTTTGAGACAGATAAAGCTTTCTTTTGGTGGTATTTAATCACCTCTGGGTTTTTAATTTTTTGCTAAACAAACCAAAAACAACTGAAAATTTTGGAAATAAAAGTTTTTTTCGTAGTTTCTGTTATAAAATTTTGTAAATGAGTAATTTTTCCCCTTCACTGATGTGCGCTGATAGGCTGCACTGATAGGTGGCACTGATGAGGAGGAACTGGTAGGCGGCACTGATGGGCATTGACAGGCATCACTGGTGGGCATGGACAGACATCACTGATGGGCACTGAAAGGCAGTACTCATATATGGCACTGAAAGGCAGCACTGACTGGCACTGATAGGCGGCACTGACTGCCACTGTTAGGTTGCACTGACGGGCACTGATAGGCGTCACTGATAGGTGGCACTAAAAGGCAGCTCAGATGGGCACTGATATGTGGCATTGTTGTGCACTGGTAGGCACGGATATGTGGCATTGATGTGGCACTGACAGGTGGCATTGATGGACACTGGCAGATGGCATTGATGGGGCTACACTAATCATCAGTGCACTTCATACTTCATATGATGTCCTCCCAGAATGAGAGAACCACCGTCCGTCCGTCATTTCCTTATATTGCGGGCGGGAGGCAGTTAAATAAGGTCTTTATTGATAGCAAGAAGGTTGATGTTTTTTTTTTTTTTTATTATGCAGAGGTGCTTTTAGGAATGTCTGGGGCTTTTAAAAAGGAAAGGGGCTTTATGGCGAATGTTTTCAACAATGCGCTGTTTATCTCCTACTCAGGAGAACGCCCTCATGTCAATCAAGCGATGACGCCCATGGGGAGGATTGTCCTGGTGAGGAGGATTGTCCTGGTGTGGAGAAGGCAGCGGGAGGCGGGTGCCCTTAGCTTGATCTGGCGATGACTGAGGAGGAGGTGACAGGAGGGGGGACATCCTCTCCCGCTACTTGTAAAGGTAATCCAGCGGCTTGTTAGCTGCTCAGTTTGCTTTTATAAGAGAGCCGACCTGTGGCTCAGTAAACATTGCTGCTTGACCACAGCAGGGCTAAGGATAAAAAAAAACAAAAAAACCTCCTGCCCGGCGCCCGGAACTGTATGTCCCGGGAGTCAGGTAATAGTATTTGAACATCTCTGGTGTGTCTACACGTACCCACACTAAACATGAATGTCAGTTTAATCAAAGAAGGTATTCATAATGTTTATATATACATGCACACACACACACCCATAAATGTTTTGCCTTTCATTTCTATTTTAAACTGAATGGGTTGTTTTACAAGGTAAGGCTTCAAATATACTCAGCAGACACAGAGCAGACAGAGCCCACTCCGCTCTATGGGCGGCCATGAGTAAATGGACTACACTGTCTGTTTACACCCAGCTACCTCTGATCCGCTTCACCTAAACGGAAGAGGATAGAGTCTTCTCCTGTTTGTTTTAGCAGACCAGATCGGACCCAGAGGTAGGCGGATGTAAATGGTCACAAGTCCATTTACACCAGCCTGTGCATAGGGATGAATGGGTCTTCTGATCAGGTCCTCTTGAAAAACAGACAGGCAGACCGGATTGGAATGCCCCTCTGAAAGGTTCCTAACACGAGTTGTTTAGTTATATACGATTCGGCTAAAAACACAACCACTTAAGACTTGTTTTAATATTTCAGTTTCTCTACAAGTTGTTTTGAGGTATGCTATACATTATTATAAAATCAATACAATAAGGGCTATGACAGGTATGTACACATTACTTCCTTTTTTTCGTCACATGTAATACATAAAGAACGCACTGTACATTCAGGAAACCCCGTTGCTCTCCTTCTTACCCCTCTCGGATAACCCTCTCAGTCTCCGTGGCTACATGGTAGTAGCTAATGACGTGGTCCAGACAGGAAAGGGTACTCTCCACATTTTCCTGAAGGCGCTGCAGTGTCTCTGTCTGCTTGTGCACGGGGATGATAGAATTCTCCAACTTCATTAATCGGCTCTCGAAGGATGAAAGGATGGACACCTGGAAGATAGACACAAGAGACTCTAGAAATGCCAATATCATTCATTATGAACCACCTTTCATCCCTTGCCTTGTACTCACCATGTTATTGGTTAGCTGATCACTCTTATCTAGACTCTCTTTGATGAATGTCAACATTTCTTCCTCCTGAAAAAAAAAAATCAATGGTCATCAGCCTTACAGACATAATGGGAAGATTTACTAAAACTGCTCTGCATAGAAACCAATCAGCTTCCAGGTTTAATTGCCAAAGCTTAATTGAACAAGCTGAGGTTAGACGCTGATCGGCTCCCATGCCCAGCTGCACCAGATTCTGAGTGCAACAGTTTTAGTAAATCTACCCCATTGAATTTCCTGGAGCTCTTTAAAGTAACACGAAGGCTGTCAATGCTAACCTCACTTTCTGAAAAGGCCTCCCTAATGTTTTAGATCCTAAAACTTGTCTTCTGGGGGATTTAGGTTTCTCGAAATATGCTAAGCAGTTTCTGTGTATATTGTATTTCTATGCCAAAAAGGTGATCCTGCTTACTTGGAAGGGGCTTGCATTGCCAACTATATCACAATGGCTTACACTTATTAATGATGCCCTTCCTTTATACAGACTCACCTTTGAGCTGAGAAAAAAAAGGGAACAATATTTGAAAAACTTTGGGGCGGAAGGATTGTTAGTCCCCTTACCTTGACCTCTCTAGATCCAGATGTTTAAAGCGGAGTTCCACCCAAAAGGGGAAGTTCCGCTTTAATGCTTTGTCCCCCGCTCCCCATTAAGGATTGGCACTTTGAGGAGCTGGAACCTGAATTTGACAGGTACCCACTCCCACTTCTGCTGCGATCGCCTAGGCGACCAGCAGTGGAAGTTGTCCTCCCTCCCTCCCCGTAGTCTTCTGGGACACGTGACAGGTCCCAGAAGACTACGGGGCCATTCACAAAGCGCAGCGCATCTCACGCATGCGCAGTGGGCACCCGGCTGTGAAGCCGCAAGCTGTCACAGCTGGCTGCCCACACTGAAGATGCCGGCGCCAACGAGAGAAGACGGCCGGTGAAACCAGCGGTGGTGAGGACACCGCTTGACTGAGGGACAGGTAAGTGGCTATATTTATAAAAGTCAGCAACTACAGTTTTTGTAGCTGCTGACTTTTTTTTTTTTTCAACTGGAACTCCGCTTTAAGTATTGCTTTTATGATCTCAATGCATATTATGAGTTTTATTCTAGAGTGTATAACCCTGTTCTTGGAGGTACTTGCTATAGTTTCTATAGCACTGTTCCTTGATTCATGTGACCTGTGAGACCCTGCGTGGTCGCTTGTTTTTTTTTTTTTGGACCTTGTGAGTCTTGTTGAGCTGTTTGTTGTATGATGTGGAAAAATGATAAAGCTTCAATAAATATATCTTGAAAAAAAAAAAACCCTGTAGCCTGTTTACAGTGACTGATAATAACTTTTATTACCTTGGCATCAATAAGTAAAAGTGCTCAATAGATATTTTCAAACACAACAGAAATAGATTAAAAAAGGATTAAAATGGAAAAGTCCAAAATGTGGTACTAGAAGCTAGTAAATCATTGTCAGGAGACCTTGGGGGGGTTTCAGTAAGTAGGGAAAGACGTGTCTCTGCTGACCTCAGAAACTAGAACACTAATAACTGAAGTGTCAACTATCATCTTTTAGGGCTCATTCACACTAGTGGTTGGGGGGCGGTAGGGAGGTAATGGAAATCTCGTTGTACAGTATATATTCTCTGATCTGGGGAATAAATGATGAATACTGGATGATACATTTGTGTCGTTCATTATTCCTGGGCGTGCTTGAAGGTTTGCTAATACAGTGACATACTGTGGTGTCTTAGGGCTCATAATTCAGGTGCGATTCCTGTCCAAATGGCATGTGATTTCCTCCACCACTCCTGTGTGATCCATCCCACTATAGAAAGACAGGGCAGCGACATGAAGTGATGAAGTGCAGCAATGGGCATACAAACAGGTTAAAATGTTATCACACATAACATGTTAAAAGTGCCTAATATCTTGCATATCAAATCCAAAATCGACCGCTTGCAGTGCTCACAGGGCTGGAGGAAAGGTGGTCCGCCTCCATACCCACAGGGGTCCCAGAACTTCATACATCTCCTCCAGCCCTGTGAACACTGCAAATAGCCGGTTTTGGATTTGATATGCAAGATATTAGGCACTTTTAACATGTGATATTTGACAACATTTTAACCTGTTTGTTTGCCCATTGCTGCACTTCATGTCGCTTCCCTGTCTTTCTATAGTGGGATCACACAGGAGCGGTGGGGGAAATCACATACGATTTGGATAGCAATTGCACCGCATTCCTGTTCAAATTGCATGCGATTCTTTGCAGTGTGATTTGAGCCCATTCATTTTGTATGGGCTCAAATCGCACTGCCAAAGTTTTAGTACACGGTATCAGCGAGTTCTTGACCGAAAGGATCGGTACTCGCCAATACTGTATTGTAGACTGAGGATGCTGGAATGCAACTGAAGTGGGTTGCAACACTGGAAGTATCTTACTGTACTAAGGGAGAAGGTAAGTATTTAGGCCTTATTCCGGCACCCCTAGACAAAACCAGCATTTAACCCTTGCAGTGAGGGGTGGGGGTCTCCACTCCAGGGGGGGGGCATTTTTCTGATTTTGCTGCTGCAGCTGGGCTTTAACCACTTGCCTACCAGGCACTTTTACTCCCTTCCTACCCAGGCAATTTTCAGCTTTCAGCGCTGTCGCACTCTGAATGACAATTGCTTGGTCATGCAACACTGTACCCATATGACATTTTTTTTCACACAAATAGAGCTTTCTTTTTTTGGTATTTATTCACTGCTGGATTTTTAATTTTTGAAAAAAAAAATTTGAGAAAAAAAAAAAAAACGTTTTCTTTGTTCCTGTTATAAAATTTTGCAAACAGGTAATTTTTCTCCTTCACTGATGTGCTTTGATGAGGCAGCACTGATGGGCACTGATGAGGTGGCACTGGTGGGCATTGATGGCAAAGCACTGATAATGCTGCACTGATGGGCACTGACTGACACTGTTTGGAACTGATGGGCAGAACTGTTGGGCACTGATGGGCACTTTTGAGGCTGCATTGATAATCAGTGCAGATGTCTCCTTTGACAGCTGACGGTTATCGGTAATTTCCTTATGATACTGTCGATAACAAGTGTATTTACATGGTGGTCTGCTGTGATTGGACACAGCTGATCACGTGATAAAAGGCCACTGTGATTGGCCTTTTACTATGTCATGTGATCAGCTGTGACACGGCGATCACAGACAGTGCCGGGTGCGCGTCGCGGGGGGGGGGTTGCATTCTGGGCATTCTGGCAGGACGTCATATGACACCCCCCAGAACTGGACAACCGTGCTGTAGCCATCATTCGGGTATAGCGCGGTAGAAAGTGGTTAAAGGTTATTTTGACTGTGCTAATGGCCTCAAGTCATTGGATAGAGTTCACCTTTACAGTAAATTTGCTGTCAAGTTCACCTTCTGGAAAGTCTACTTTCCCATGATGCTGATCCTCCGTCTTTAGTCCTTTCTCAGCCACTGCCCCATAATATTAGAAACGTCAGCACGAGGAATGAGCCTTCTGGCGTGTCTGGACCAGGATGTGATCCTGCCAGGAAGCTGTCATCTGTGCGGGCCAATCATCTGCGCCCATGGAATTCTCCGTCCCCACGTGTACAATGGGCATGTAGACATGTGGCAGCAAGGCGGGGATTGCCATGGCAGCAGATGATTGGTCCGTACAGGTGACAGCTTCCTGGCAGGATCAAATTCTGGTCCCGACACGCCCCGCATCATTCCTGCTTCGCATCTACAGGCTGGATAGTAATGAAGCCCTAGGATCAGTTTGACATTCAGACAGTATAGAAGGAGAGCTCAGCTGTGGCAGCACTCAGGATTTCCTCATTATATGTATTCACCCCAGGGAAAAGATTCTATCCATGTCTGCCTAGTACAGAGCCCAGTACACTGAATTCCCCCTCCCCCTCTCATGGATAAACATGACACATAACCTGTTTCAGCTTTTCCTCTATCTCCTTCTTCCGGCCTGAGGTCTCCTCGTTCGGGATCATTCTTCTGGTAAATCGTACAGACAATAATACCGGCTATAGAATGGATCCCTCTCCACCCTTCCTGGCAGCTCTAGCATCAGATGTCAACAAGCCTCACTTCCGCCCAAAGCTCACCCTCACTTCCGTCCGCAGAAGGTCCTCCATGTTGGTGAGGTCGGGGGCTAGCAGCCGCCGCCATATTGGTAGAGGCGGGGGATAAGTGTACTGTGTGGACGCTTCCTGCAGATGACAGCAGACACCGCTGGGGGCAGTATTATACAACGGCTATATAGAGAGGTATGCTGTGGTTAAAGGAGCGGTCTCCTCAGGGGGCGGGCACTGACTACATCTGAGGGGAATTAAAAGTTGTCATTGCTGACTGCGGTGGTGGAGATGTCTAATTTCCACAAATTCTGGTGAAATTCATTATCTTTCAGTAGCCTGTTGAAATGTAGAAAAAAAAAAAAAAAGCATTTTGCTCTACTTAAAGGTCCCCCCCCCCCCGGTGATCTTTAAGTAGAGCAAAATGCTTTTTTTTTTTTTTTTTTTTTTATAGAATAAGGGTGGTTTATTAGCTCTGTCAGATTTTTTTCCATCAGGGGAGTTATCCCTTCGCTTCCTGTCCCATAGCCAAACCAGGAAGTGAGAGAAAATCCCTCCAAGGTGCTGGAATACCTCACACTCCAGAACTCCAACTGTCAGAATCTCCACCAGGGTTTCCAGAACTCCATCTGTCAGAATCTCCACTAGGATGTCTAGATCTCCAACTGCCAAAATCTCCATCAGGACATCAAGAACTCCAACTGTCAGAATCTCTACTAGGACATCTAGATCTCCAACTGCCAAAATCTCCACCAGGACATCCAGAACTCCAACTATCAGAATCTCCACCAGGTTTTCTAGAACTTCAACTGTCAGAATCTCCAGCAGGACTTCCAGAACTCCAACTGCCAGAAGTTCCAGCAGGACCTTCAGAACTCCAGCTGTCAGAATGTTCACCAGGACATCCAGAACTCCATGTCAGAATCTCCAGCAGGACTTCCAGAAACTACTACTGTTAGAATCTTCATCAGGATTTCCAGAACTCCAACTGTCAGAATCTCCAGCAGGACATCTAGATCTCCAACTGCCAGAATCTCAACCAGCACATTCAGAACTCCAACTGTCAGAATCTCCACCAGGACATCTAGATCTCCAACTGCCAAAATCTCCATCAGGACATCCAGAACTCCAGCTGTCAGAATCTCCACCAGCACATTCAGAACTCCAGCTGTAAGAATCTCCTCTAGGACATCAAGCACTGCAGCTGTCAGAATCTTCACCAAGACATCTAGATTTCCAACTGACAAAATCTCCACCAGGACATCCAGAACTCCAGCTGTCAGAATCTCCACCAGGATATCTAGAACTCCAACTGTCGGAATCTCCACCAGGATATCTAGAACTCCAACTGTCGGAATATCCAGCAGGACTTCTAGATCTCCAACTGCCAGAATCTCCACCAGGACATCCAGAACTCCAACTGTCAGATTCTCCACCAGGACATCCAGAAATCCAGCTGTCAGAATCTCCACTAGGACATCAAGCACTGCAGCTGTCAGAATCTCTACCAAGACATCTAGATTTCCAACTGGCAAAATCTCCACCAGGACATCCAGAACTCCAGCTGTCAAAATCTCCACCAGGACATCCAGAACTCCAACTGTCAATCTCCAGCAGGACTTCCAGAACTCCAACTGCCAGAATCTCCAGCAGGACCTTTAGAACTCCAGCTGTCAGAATGTTCACCAGGACATCCAGAACTCCATGTCAGAATCTCCACCAGGACATACAGAAACTACTACTGTTAGAATCTCCACCAGGACTTCCAGGATTTCAACTACCAGAATATTCATCAGGATTTCCAGAATTCCAACTGCCAGAATCTCCAGCAGGACTTCTAGATCTCCAACTGCCAGAATCTCCACCAGGACATCCAGAACTCCAACTGTCAGAATCTCCACCAGGGTTTCCAGATCACCAACTGTCAGAATCTCAACCAGCACATTCAGAACTCTCCACATGTGCTCGGCTTATATTCGATATCCTGATTAATGGATCATCTCCAAAAAAAGTGCTCCACTGTGCTCGACAAAAGTGCCCCACATGGACTGACACTCACCCTTATCCAATGACCATCTATCTCTAGAATGATCCCTAATGTTCGCGGGAAATTCCCAGTAAGCCAGTTGTCTCCAGATCCTTAGCCTGTGACCATCGATCCTTAGAGTGGTCCATGATTTTTAAAGGAAAATTTTCAAAGAGCCAGTTATCTCCACACAAAAGAAGTTCCTATGCCTGGCACCTGGTGTACTCAGCCTTGTTACTGCTCAAAATGGAAGCCACTGTACTGATCGCTCCTCAGAGCGGCATGTGTTCCACAGGATGGATGTGACGTCGGCGGAAGTTGCGTCATCAAACCTCTACACGCTTCGATCAGAGATCGTCTTCAGGAAGTGCCACAGTGGAGCACTTTTTTTGGAGATGATACATTAATCAGGATATTGAGCATATGCACTTGTTTCACTAATATGGGACTGGTTTATGATATGCTGAATATATGCACATGTTTATGATTAAGCACAGTCCATTTGTTTTTCTAAAATCTTCAAGACATCCAGAACTCCATCTGTCAGAATCTCCACCAAGGTTTCCAGAATTCCAACTGCCAGACTCTCCAGCATGACTTTTAGATCTCCAACTGCCAGAATCTCCAGCATGACTTTTAGATCTCCAACTGCCAGAATCTCCACCATGACTTTTAGAACTCCAACTGTCAGAATCTCCAGCATGACTTTTAGATCTCCAACTGCCGAATCTCCACCAGGACATCCAGAAATCCAACTGTCAGAATCTCCACCAGAATATAGATCTCCAACTGCAGAATCTCCACCAGGACATCCAGAAATCCAGCTGTGCCAGAATCTCCACCAGAATATTCCAGAACTCCAACTGTCAGAATCTCCACCAGGACATACAGAAATCCAGCTGTCAGAATCTCTAACCAAAGTAATTTGGAGATTACTTTATTTTATTTAGAATCTCCAGCAGGACTTCTAGATCTCCAAGGGTTTGCCAGAATCTCCACAATAGAGTTTCCAATACTGAAACTGTACAGAATCTCAAACAGCACACAAGACATACAGAATGCCAACTCTAATCAAAGTACAATTGGAGCAGAGGAACTACTGCAACCAGCATATAACATTAACCTCCCTAGCGGTCTGATTATGTCCATATTTCTGTGCTCAAAGCAGTACATTTTTTTTTTCATGGAAATATGTCTTTTTTTTATTGTAGGCCTGTAATTTTTAGGAATAACTCACTGAAATCTGTCCAAACAAGAGTCTAGTAAACATCCCGGGTAGGATAAAATTTGAACACGAAATCATAAATTATAATTTAATAAATAATCATAAAAAATAATAATAAATCTAATTCAATAATATAATCAAACCAAAAACACTGAAATTTGAAATATAGCGCCAAGTTCGCACATCACTGAGCAAAGTCGCAAAATTGTTTTCAGTGTCTGATGATGAATTTCCCCACGAATCATTATCACTCAATTCTGCAAGTGGTTCTGATTTACTATCGCTGTTCTCTAGCCGGTCTAAAACTTCTTTTGACCTAAAGGGACACTTTTTGGACGCCATGGACATTTCTCAGTTTCCAGGCAGAAAGAATAGTAAAAATGTAGGCAGGGCACAGGACAAAGCACTAGGGACAAAATGTATGTGAATTGGTTTGATACAGTAATGTTTTACTATGTGATTTTAGTGAATGTCACTTTTTGTCATTTTCAAATTTGCCGCCGTTCCGTCCCCCGTACATCACGACGCTCGCAGGGGACGGAACCCAGATGACAGATGCCGGCATACGCCGGATTACATTGCCGGGGACACTGCAGAAGGGACATCGCGGGAGCGCAGGACAAGGTAAGTGAAGAAGGGATCCCGGAGCAGCGCTGCATGGCAAGCCTGAGTGTAGTTCGGGGTTACCGCTTGTGGTACTGAAACTTTACCCCGAGCTACACTCAGGAATACCTCCAGGGAGGTTAACCATAAGTATATAAGTGCACACCAGTATGGAAATAATATAAGCTTTACACAAGAAGAGATTAATAGCCGTACATACATCCAATATACAAACAGGTACAGTATTATCAGCAAAGGGCCCTATAGGAGTCCTGGTGGAATTGTGCACATCCACCAGGGTATATATACAGTAGTTACTAATAGAGATGCCACCAGATGAATGCTGCAACAAAGTTCTGTTGCAGGGGCCTATGGGGATGATGCAGCATCTCTCTTAGTGTCAGAGACCTGAAGACAAGATCTGCAGTGATGAGGGGACACTCCAGCTGTTACCCAACCAGCCTGGAATGCAGTCCTAGATATCTGGCAATGTGCATGTGAGATAGTAATTGGACAAAAATGTTTGTTACGAGGATCAGGAATATACTTAAAAAGCTATAAGCAGCTGCAGTTAAATTAGGGCTGGCTTACAGCTCAAATGAACCAGGTGCAGTGCGACTTTAGCCCATACATTTTAATGGGCTGAAAGTGCCCCCGACTGCACTAAAAGTATGCACTAGTTTAATAAATGCAAAACAACTGGAACACATAGTACTACTGTATCTTGAGATATGGTGCAGACAAACCACACTGCATTTGTGACCTGCATTTGGTGTGTTAGTAAATGAACACTGACACCCACTGAAGATCACAATTGCAGTGCGGGAAATGCACACAGAGGGCAGTGGATCCCTGCACAATCATTTACCCATGCAGGAGGCCCACTGCAAGGGGATGCACATAAGTGAGATCATCCCTCCCCAGCCAATCTAGATGGCTGAAGACCGACACCTAAAGGAAGCAAGGGAAAAGATGGCGCTGGTGATGGACCTTTGAAGCAAAGGTAAGTAGTTTGAGATTCAGTTCCATTTTATGTACACAGGATGCTCAGGATAGTACAGATTA